CGAGTCGGAAAACAGTGGAAGGACGAAAGTTCAAAAGAGGCAAATGTTGACAGAGGAAAGGTCAGGTGGAAAATTTGGATGGCATACAGGTCGGCAGGGATAAAAGTCAGATAAGAAAACAATTCAACGGTCAACAGCAAACAAGCAAGGAGTCATGATAATTCCAAGCAGGATAGTAACAGGAGATTTGACGCCTTGACCCCTTACCAGCGCCACCCATTTGGAAAATGGCATGTCACAGTAAACCCTCCGATAGAACTGCGCCATTCTTCGGTATGATAAAGCCGTTAACACAGTTGCCCAGATGATCATGTTCACTTTTCTTATGGTTCCAAGTTCCAATTTATCACAGCGGCAACTATTTCACAGTTGACTAAGTCACTGAATTCAAGTAGCAGTTATGTGGCAAAGTTGTGAGCAGGGCATTAACCAAGTTCGTATTTTACACAGCCAAGCAACTGCCTGCGCGGGAGCTTCATCAAAACGCCTCCAAAAGGCGATGGAGACCTACTGCTGGATCTCGGGTACCTTCATATATGACAAAGATTTCGGAAGCAACAACCAGCTCGGTGCGTAAAAGCAAGTGAGTCAGACTAAGAGTCCTGCATTTATCACATCCGGGAGACGGAGGCGTAGACAAAGCCAGAAAAAGCGAATGGTAAAGAGACAAAAAGGCAATAATCATATGCGACAGTCATGCTGCTGTAAAGTCAGGTGCCTATATATCTCGGGTACCATCGCATTTTAAAGTCAACATGGGCAGTGCTGATTCAAAGCCCTCAGACCATCTTTCCACAGAAAAGTTTTGTGTGTAAAGGCACCGTTCCACATTTGTATAGGGATTTGAACTGCCATAACCATCTTGAAGATCATTCGGCAGAGTTTACACCCTGCCCCTCTTAAGACCTAAACCCCTCTGGTTTCCGTGCTGCACGCCCACGAATATGTGCAAACTTTTTCCGGGGAAACTATTTCAAGATCATCCATGTATCCATGACGAGATAATAACGTCATTCTAATCCTGCCATTCTGTTGGCCATGCGGTAAGGCCTAGAAAAATAAAATTGTCGAGTCATTCATATCCGGCGTTCGCGAACATGATTTCCATATATAATGGGCTCAACTGGCTCCTAATAAATGTTGTGCAAGGTGGGATGACGTAATTAAACAGCGACGTATTGAAGAGCATATTAACTAACTAGAAAACTGTGTTGTCTGGAGCGGCATGTTCCACTTAAAGAATACCAACAGTGACAAGCGAGCTTATTCATCTTATCTAATGTTTGCTTCATTGTGTTCAAATTGGGAACGCTTCCTTTAAAGGGATGTTCCACATTCGAAGACATTGAAACACCCAACAAATATGATGAAATAAGCTCACTTATGACCACTGGTATACGTCATTTAGAAACGACCACGCCGGACACCATTTTTCGGTAAGTAAATATGTTCAATACGTCATTGTTTGATTAGAATATATAAACAAATCCGCAATCACATATTTGTTGGCCTTGATCGCTCCAGGGCTTATGGAATGGCAGAATTTGCATTACTTCATTATGACGTTATGGATACCTGGGCGACCTTGAAATTACTTCCCCGACTGAGTGTCTCCATCTTTGCAGGCATGTAGCTCAGAAACTAAAGGGGTTTAGGTCTTAAGAAGGAAGGGCTGTGAACTGCACCGAATAGCCTCCAAGATGGCTATTTCAGTTCAAAATCCCAAACAAATGTGGAACGCTACCTTAAAGAGAACAGTATGCATGGTACCATCATATTTGACATCTTACTGACAATCTGGTGTCATCTTGTACCTTTTCACGAGGTCACATTTAAAGGGGCAAAGTACCTAAAAAATTCCAGCATCGATGACCATGCTTTCTCATATGCTCTCATAATCTCTCCCCTCGGATTCCGTGTCCTACGATTTCCTGCAGCTTTGACTTGGCATTGAACGGCCGTGTATCCATTTGGTAATGAGACATTCAATATGGTGTAAAGTGATGGAGCCCAGCCGCCACGAAGCCTCCCTTCCCCCACCTCGGTACCGGCCTGACCTCCAGGAGACGACCTCGGTACCGGCCTGACCTCCAGGAGACGACCAGCTGCCTGTGATCGGGATCGGGGCAGCTCGCGAGGAGCAGGACGAGAAACGTCACATCACCTACCACCAGTGGGTGCCGATCGTGCTGTTCCTGCAGGGCGTCAGCATCGACATACCGCACTGGATATGGAAGATGTTCGAGGACCACCGCATTCGTAGCCTAGTCGACAACATTGTGGAAACAGGGCTGGGGGAAAAGAAACGCCGGGAACGACAGGCGAGGGTGATACGTTACCTGTTGGACAGCAAGGGCAGCAGCCGTTGGTACGCCTACCAATACGTATTTTGCTAGGGCATCAACTCAACCAACGTGATGATGAACATCGCACTAGTGAACAACATCCTTGGTGGCAGCTTCTTCACCCTTGGCACCAAGCTGATTCAGTATAATCCTGAATGTCCGGAGGCTGTTCATCCACTGGCCATTGACCCGTCCAAGTACACTTTGCCGAAGCAGACCAAATACACCTTCCGCTTCTTCGGCGCGTCCGGTACCACGCAAACATTGGACTCTATATATGCATCCTGCCGGTGAACATCTTCAACGAGAGGCTGTATGCAGTGCTGTGGTTCTGGTACACTATTATGGCGGCAGTGACGGTGGCAAACCTGGTCTGGCGGGTCGCCATGATAGTCTCGCCCGTGCTGTGCGTATGGATCCTGCAGTTGAAAAGTCACCCGTGCAACGTCACCAACATGCACGTGGTGTTAAAAGTTGTCAACAGCATGACCTTCTCTGATTTCTTCTTTGCACGGCACTGTTTGACCTCCTGCGAGAGTACTCCGAAGAGGTCGGCACTCAACTGTCCACGAACGGTCCGGGGTGTAACGCACACTTCCGCGCATGCTCCAGCTAGAGGAGCGGGAAAACACGAGTCAGGCAGAGTCCGCGTCTGGAGACGGCTGACGCCCAACAGTGAAGAAGACGACGTCTTGTACGCTTTTGCCGACAAATGTCGCACTTGAGAACAGATTGGAGCTCCCCTGAATGGCGTGCATCCTACGCTGTTGCCTGCATACGCAGTGATACCTCATGGGCGCAGACACGCCTGTGAATTGCATATGCTGATGATTTCGTCTTTGAAAACAAGTTGCGTGAGATTGGCATATCGCCACACGTGCGTTCAGGACCCGTGTAACAATGAAAGAGCGGCGCACTGGCCGATGTAAACGTGTGACCGGTTACGTCATGACAGCCCTTAATAACTCGTTCATTGGGATGATCCAATCGCTCAGGCGGGATAAATGGGTCGCCTTGACCCGTTCCTCAGAAGACATCACTCACGGAGAGAATGTGACCTCTGCCTGCTCGGCAAATAGGGAATTCCAGGACAGATCGACTAGCGTCTAACACTCATCGCTCGATTGAACGAAACTAGACCACATCAGTACTTGATGGCGATTAGCATACCTGTGAGAGTACCTGTGCCGTGGCCGACGGTCAACTGAACGGCGTGAGTCGCGTGGCCACCGGGCCGCACTGTCGCCGGGCTGTCCGGTCGCGTGGGTGTCGTACCCCGCCCAGGGCGATGGCGGACCCGAGACGGGGCGAGGTGTGCTAGCTAGTCAGCGGTCGCCGCGCGGGTACACGCGAGGTCACGTCAGGCCGGCACCACATGTGTCGGCCTCATTGGTGCATAGTGCTTCGCACGCTTCGGTGTGTTTGGAGAGGCCGTCAATACACGTATGTTCGCCACAACGTCGGGCCTTTCAAGTTGATTAAACGGCAGTGCTTGGCGGCGCAGGTCAGTGATTGCAGTGGTGCAATGGCGATAACAATGAAGCCGACTTATGATTCAGCTGGCTGGATCCTCGTTCAATATTAAGATCTCGCAAGTCACCAATTATCATTTGGGGCAAGCACAGCATGGCAGGAAGGGGCGGGGGGGGACAAAGAGACAGTCGCCCCCCCCCCCCGCCAGCAAGCCGGGGGCAAAAGTACGTTTCTGCTCTACCACTCAAGAAAAAATGGGAGGCCACGTTTTCCCCAAATAAAGGCACTATAGATACGCATAGATTACCAGTATTAATATCAAAGAGGCCCCCATAGCTGAGCTAGACAGTGATAAATCGGGCTCAGAAGACCATTTTCTACATCACGAGATCCGTTTTTCTGGATCATGCGGGCACCTTCACGAATGCTCAGGATTAGTGGACAATTTTGCGTTAAAGAGGCCTGTTCACTGGTTCAGAAAACCCCCTTTACAGGCTGAGGCCCTGTTTTGAGTTCAGTTGTTCGGCCGTTGTGATAGGCCCACTCTTTTTTAAGGATTCATGTTTTGTTATGGAACACGTGATGCCATAATAATTTGAGACACAGATTATACGAGAACTTTACTGAAAAATACGAGTCGTTTTTCACGCAACTGACCACTGTTGTTAGGCATTTCAGCAAGCACCACGACGCACTATGTTGCTAAAACCGTAATCACACACTTTTCTGTTGGCGCTTATGTTTCCAATCACAAATTTGTGGGTGTGGAATCAATCGATATTGAAACAATTCGCGCTACATCGCTAAAAACAATGACACATCCTACGCGTCGACATGCAAAAGCTGCGTGATGGGTTCTCAACAAAGACGCCTCCTAACTTCTACGACGCAACACACTACATACTGCACAGTTTCACATGAGTTTTAAAGCGCCATCCTATCAGAATGTCACCGTCCCACGATGCTTTTCGTACTATGTGGCAACTTCGTGTGCACAGAAATGGCTGCTGCACCAGTCACATTAAATCATCTGTTGCACAATAACCAAGAGCGCAAGCAGCCCCACCAAACGCTAGGCGCGCGCCGTCGACTAGAGGATACCAGCAAGCTGACGCAGGCTGTGACTAGAAGACTGGCGCAGGCTGTGACTAGAGGACACCAGCAAGCTGGCGCAGACTGTGACTAGAGGACGTCAGCGTGCTGGCGCAGACTGTGCAGCCGCAGCTGATGGAGCGACACCTGCGGCTGACAGCACGAAGGGCACCAGAGGGCACCGAGCGTGGCCTCGGGCCGCCAGAGCCGCGCCGACAGCCACGGCTCGGCCGAGAGCCGCTGCTCAGCACACGGCACGCAGAGCGCCACCGCTGCCGGACTGGGCGTCTCGCCGGCGCCCTCCGGCTGCAGCAGGGCGACGGCGCCAGCCGCTAGCGGCGTGTCGCAATCAGCGCAGGTGGCGGCACCGGCCGCCGGCGGCGCTGCCTGCACAGCGCACCGATCGGCCGGAGCGGCAGCGGCGCCACCCGGCTCGGCCAGAGGGCAGTGGCAGCGAGCACACACGGTCAGCCGCAGCCGACGGCCGGCGCCCGACAGCAGCGCCGTCTCCCGGCCGGCGGCAGGCTCGGCGCCGCACCGCTGGCAGCCGGGCGGCGGAGCAGCAGGTCCTGCCCAGCCGCCGGCGCACGTGTGCACGCGCAGGTGCACAGCCAAGAAGAAGCGGCGCGAGCAGCGAGCGCAGTGTAGCGGACCGCGCCACTCGCCGTGCCGGTAGCGTCGGTGACGGCGCAGCTGCGAGACGGAGCGCAGCACCCGCCCACAGAGCTCGCACGCCAGTGTCTCGGCATCCACCTCCTGACAGCATGTGGATGATGACGAGGACTGGCCAGAGTCACGACCGTCCGCACTGCAAAGACTAGACCCGCGCATGTTCAAACGACGGCACTTACGCGGCGGTGCCTGACGCCGGGCACTAGCATCACATTCAGTGTCTTTGCCCTGGCTGGACACGTCAACGATGACACATTTCTCCCGAATCTTCGGACACGAGTCTCCATTGCAGGTGTCCTTTGGCGTCAACGTACCACTCAGACAGCGCTGGTCGGCGCCGCGTCGGTCAGCGTAGCCACGGCGTTCGTGGCTGACCGCACCGTTCCTCGCGCGGACTCCATTGTTCCTGACATGGCGGTCCGAGGATGAAAATTTGAAACCACAGGCAGCACCATTTTCTTCCGACATCTCCTCCGGACACTCAGCTAAATGACTGTTTGAGCAGTCTGCGTCGGAGACGTCCAGTTTCTGCGAGCTCCTGGCCTCGCCTGGAGCCATCTCCTTCCCTTCTGGTGCCGAGTCGGAGTCTGCGTCGTCGCATGGTGCCTGCGGCGTGTGCCCGGCGCCCTCGCCGATCACCTGCGGCTCCACTCGCCGTCCGGGCGGCGGGTCCGCTGCAGGCGGCGCCAGCAGCTCGCAGACAGGGTCACTGCCGGCGTGCAGCGCCCAGTGCTCGGCCACCTGGGCCGGCGGCACCTGCAGACCGCAGAGCAGGCAGAGCAGGCGCGGGCAGCGGTGTTGACGTGCCGGCGCTGGCCGACAGAAGGTGCGCGGGCAGTCGGGACAGAAGAGCAGAGGCAGCTCGCCGTGCCGCTGCAGGTGCAGGCCCAGCTGACGGCCCGAGGGCGCCGGGCCGGCGCACACAGGGCAGAGCGCGGCGCAGAGCAGCGCCGCCGAGTCCAGACCGGCGCCCGGCACGCCGTCAGAGGGCTGCAGCAGCTGTACGCTGACGGCGGCGGTCGGCTCGGTCGCCGCCACAGACAGCCAGTGCAGGGCGGCGTCGCCGCCGGCAGCGCTCAGCAGCCGGCCGGCTTCCAGACCGCGCCGCTCCAGCGACGACAACACTGCACAACCACGCGTTGTCAGGAACGCTACAAAACACGTGGCCATTTGAAAACACTGCACAACCACACGCTGTTAGTGACACTACATAGCATGTGGTCCTATGAAAACACTGCACAACCACACATTGTCAGGGACGCTACAAAACATGTGGTGATATGAAAATTCTTGTGGAAACATAAAATGCACATGGCCACAATAAGCCAAGTGGCCACCGGGACCCACGTGCGCATATCTGGCTCGCGATAAAGGTGAAGCCAGAAATCACACATGGGTCCTGAGCATCAGTGATCAAAACAGGCGCGGACCACGTCAATAACGACAACTCTGCGTCAATAATGACGCCTCTTGCTCAGATCAACAAGGAGAATACAATTGGGAGCGAACGAAAAAGGAGGTGAACAACTCCGTTGATAATAGTGACCACGGGGTAAATTGGAGCTTCAGCTACAGTAACGCCATCGAGCTGGCTTGCCTGGATGACTTTGGCTAGGAGGACATGGACGTATTGAACAGAGCTTCCTGTTTTGAATACATGAGGCCACCACCTAACGCGATTCCATCTGCATGTTTAATTCTGCCTGTGCCCTTTTACGTCAGACAGGATAGCAGGAATATCTTCATGGAGCCATACACTTCTCTGACAGGGCCGTGTCACTGAGTCGTGATAACAAAGCACGTTGCCGCAGAGGTTAACACAAATGAAATAAGTTCGGACGCAGACACAGAAGGTGTTTGCTGCAAAGGCAGAACGATGGCCTCTTTGGATAAGACCGTAGTGTCGTGATACGGCTTAGGGGGGGGGGGGGGGAGGGTGAACCAGGGCTGAGGCATTTCTAAATTGACGGCCCATGGATCAGAAAATGCCTTCGGAGCGTCGAATTCGACATCTGCGTAAGTGATCGCCTGTTTGGAGCCTCGATACCACGCGTCAAATTTCCGCTTGGGTGTATCAATCGTCAACCCTCGCCTTGCTAGTGGGGAGAGGTGATGCGACAGCATTTCATTTTTTTAGGATACCTCTCTGGAATTTTGTGCAATCGTCGCCAAATATCCAGCAGCCTATGGAGCATCCACTGGACGTGTTTTTCCACCAAAAACGTTTTCCTACCTTTCTGATTTCCAAGCAGCGACGGCTCTGAGGAACGCTGCACGGCGATCTACGACAGGCGCGGGCAGCGAGGGGCAACGGTCGATGCCTCGGCACGCGCGCGGCGGCCCGGCACTGTTACATTAACGGAGCCGTATATCGTAATGCATGCCCTCAGCACATGTAAACGTACACCATTGTACTTGGAATTAAACACGGAGCACGCCTGTCCAGGTTTTGTGCTGCCACGAGGCATGGTCTCGTATGTATGACATGACTGAAAAATTCTATTTTCTGGAAACTTTCACCTTGACCTCGCAAAATAGGGTCAATTATTGGCCAAAAAGCGTCAAAACTAGTACCAATCTCGAGATCTCGTTAAGAACAAGCCACTAGTCTTTTTTCAGCTAAGCTCTATCTTGATTACTTTGAAAACGCCATGGGGAGGGGGTCGCATCGATCCCCGCCATCAGCCCGCGTTATGAAAAACGGTGAATCAAGGCAAGGGTCAAGTCAGGACATTCGTTCTTTGCCATTTTTCTTTTCTATTTGGATTCTAACCCTGTCGGCTTGCGACACTCTTCGCCGCCTTGCATTTTGGTCTTTGGCTCTTCCAATGAGTGTCGGCAGGGATAAAGTTATCCCTTAGCCCCTTTTTGTCTTTGACGATTCGATTTCACTTTTAATCCTGTCCACTTTGATCTCCTTTGACATGTTGTCCTTACGGTTCCATTTTTATTTCTGTCGAGTTTAATCCCGGTAGGCTTTTCGCCGTTAGACTTTTTCAGATCGACCATTTTTAGATTCAAATTTTTTTCATTGGGTTTTTTTACTGGAATTTTTTTTTAAAAAGCAGCATGAGTGGCACCGCCAGTCTCGCCAGCACGTCTGCTGGTGGTATTCGCACACTCACCATCCGGCTTGAACCAGTAGGTCTCGCCAGCACGTCTGCTGGCGGTATTCGCACACTCACCATCCGGCTTGAACCAGTAGGTCTCGCCAGCACGTCTGCTGGCGGTATTCGCACACTCACCATCCGGTTTGAACCAGTAGGTCTCGCCAGCACGTCTGCTGGCGGTATTCCCACACTCACCATCCGGTTTGAACCAGTAGGTCTCGCCAGCACGTCTGCTGGCGGTATTCCCACACTCACCATCCGGTTTGAACCAGTAGGTCTCGCCAGCGCGTCTGCTGGCGGTATTCCCACACTCACCATCCGGTTTGAACCAGTAGGTCTCGCCAGCACGTCTGCTGGCGGTATTCCCACACTCACCATCCGGTTTGAACCAGTAGGTCTCGCCAGCACGTCTGCTGGCGGTATTCCCACACTCACCATCCGGTTTGAACCAGTAGGTCTCGCCAGCACGTCTGCTGGCGGTATTCGCACACTCACCATCCGGTTTGAACCAGTAGGTCTCGCCAGCACGTCTGCTGGCGGTATTCCCACACTCACCATCCGGTTTGAACCAGTAGGCCGTGAGGGCATCGTCGCGTGCGTGCTTCAGGCAGTGGGTAATGAGGTTATGTGAGCGCACGTGGCCGCATGAGCCGCACTGAAACTGGGAGCCCTCGGCGATGTACTCGTGCTGCTCGCCGATGTGGTGCATCATCCGCTGGCGCTGGTCCTCACGCTGACCACACACGGGACACCAGAACGCCATCTGGGGGCAGTAGCAAGACGCCATCACGGAAGGAGTCACATCTCATGCAGAATACCCCCGGCACCCGGAGCAGCATGTCACCTCTCGCGAGGAGTCGCATCTCACGCAGAATACCCCCACCAGCCGGAGCAGCATGTCACCTCTCGCGAGGAGTCACATCTCACACAGAATACCCCAACTAGCCGGAGCAGCATGTCACCTCTCGCGAGGAGTCACATCTCACGCAGAATACCCCCACCAGCCGGAGCAGCATGTCACCTCTCGCGAGGAGTCACATCTCACACAGAATACCCCAACTAGCCGGAGCAGCATGTCACCTCTCGCGAGGAGTCACATCTCACGCAGAATACCCCCACCAGCCGGAGCAGCATGTCACCTCTCGCGACAAGAAATATTCGTGAGCCGAAGCGACGGCCGCCTTCCGCTGATGGGAACGAGTGCATATTAAAACTGTGACTGTGTGGTGAGCCAGCAGACTGAGTGTGGCAGCGCCGGCGGATAGCTCTGTACATGTCCCAGAGCAGCTCACGGCGAGCCTAGCAGCTGGCAGACTACCAACTGCCCCTCAGCATGACCGGTTGCCGCGGCTCGACGGTACTAATTTTCCACTAAAAATGAACGCTTTGTTTTCTCAAACTAGACAGACGTTCAGAACACCCGTGCAGTATGATATCTTGCGGGCAGTCATCATCATCGAAATGTGTTTTAGAGCATTTCGCGAGCCCGTGTGTATTCTGCTGGATGCATGCGCGGCTGGGTCCTGTGCCGTATTGCTCTGCGCGCGCCTCCGCGTACTCTAGCGACTTTGCACGATGCCGTCTCATCACCGAAATTATTGGCGTGAATCGGTGGTCTCCTAGGGATTTGAATCCAGTATTCATCGCTTTCCGATGCATCTTATCTTCGTTAACAGCTTGACTATTGGAACCTCTCTGTCTCTCCCTAACCTCGTTTTCTTTGCACGTCACTGACTGGGATGACCCGTGGCCGGCGGCAGCAGCCGCGCTTTGTGTCAGGTAGGCAGGACGAGGCTCACGAGCGTGCTAACCTCAGAGGGCAGAACAAACTGTGCGGAGCGTAAGGCACGTTAAGCTTTCATCACAGAACTCTGCGGATGATCTGGAATTTCAAGATCGGACAGTGAGGCCAGGGCTCGCACAACAAGCACTACTCACGCTTAGTGTGGACGCCGATCCAGAAATCCATTCAATCATGAAATTTGGTCTACATCTGTCATAGAATGTTTGGTGTGCCGGCCTTGGCCATCTTCACTGTGACGGCGTCTCGCCATACCTAGGCGAACATGAAATAAAGCAGAACCAGTGAAGCGTGTTGTGACTTCGGTCGCCCGAAGGCGTCGAATACCTGCTGCACGACTCAGGTCAGCTACTTGACAGTGGACCTTCCTCAGGGGAAGCAGGCTTGGTTCGGGCTGATCGGTTTCCTAGCCTCTGAAACTGTCATTGTTGATGACTACGGGGCAGACGTCTGTCGCCCACTTCCCCATGTCCCCGCCAAGGGTCCTCGGGTTGGTGCGGGTCCCAGGCCTCGCCTCGAGCGTCGGCGTCGCTGGCCATTAACATCCAGGGTCCCGTGGACAGGACCCTTAATCGTACAGTCTGGGTTTGGGCCCTCGTGCCAGGACCCGGCATCCAACGTGCGGGGGCACGCAAACGTCTGCCGTTGTGACGCCCACCCTATTCACGTGTGTTTTGTTTGCCACGCAGCAGGTGCTAGGTTCGGCTTGTGGCGGCTCGTAAAGAGCCCTAATGTTTGTCTAGCTGCGTTTGGGAGCTTTCAAGGGGACCAGTGCGACGAGGCCGCGCTATGACTCACCTTGAGGTCGTGAGCTGTACGGTGGCGCTCCATCAGGGCCTCGGGCAGGATGAGGCCGCAGCGGCCGCAGCTGCGACAGTGCGCGTCCCGGATGTGACTGACCAGTTGTGGCACAGCCAGCCCACACAGCGGGCACCGGCCGGAGGGCAGCGGGTCTGCAACAGACGGCCGACGCTCAGCCGCCAGGCCCAGGCGGCCGGCCCGCACTACCAGCACCACCGTACAACGTCGTGCTGAAGGGCAAAACAAACAGAAACTGAGCAGCACATTGTTTACATCGTCTCCGCGGTATGGTGATTAGCGCGTAAATCCCGGCACACGCCAAGTGGCAGACTCAATGGGTTCGAGGCATTTCCTCGACAAAGAGAGCAGGCCCCTCGCACGAACAGCTGCGTGATAATGCTGCATGGCTCGGCACAAGCCTCCAACAAAAATATCCTTCCTTTCCGAATCGCCTCGGTGGCATTGTTCAGCGTTGACAAAACGATCAAGCATTGGCAAAAAGTTGATCCAAACACACATCAAGAGAACGTTGTAGGCAGTCACCTGTCTCAAAAACAGAGTGACGCTGACATCCAAAGGCTATAACAAATATTCCAGCTGTGGTAGGTACACAGGAAGGTGCCGAACGATTTATAACGCAATGTCTTTGTAATTTGTGCTTCACATTACGCCATATTGGAAACACCACATGCGTTCTTGATGGCGCCACATTTTGTTATTTTGCAACTGGCTTTCCAGTCCCTAACCCGTTAATAAAAATTGGGGTGCTCGCCCCTTTGCCTATGTGTCCTCACATAAACAACTGAATTATCATATGTGCCAGTCGCATGGGCCAAAAAAAGCATAACATTGTTGAATGCATAGTTTTCAGCTGGTTTTTATTTCACAAAAAAATTTAATACAGACTCTTGGGTCTGCCTTAGAATGTTATAGGTGTGGTTTTAGGTCATGTCTTTGTAAAGCACTCGCCGAAGAGTTTACGACCAGACACGAAATCACACGCCGAAGGATTTACGACCAGACCCGACAGTACGTGCAGACGGAATGAAAAACCTTGTTTTAACGATACGAGCACGATTAAAAAATATGGACAAAATCATCATTGCACATCAGGGAAAAGAGTTGCGCAAGGCTTTGTGCAAGCCGTGAATTGAATACAATTTATTTCGATGGTGATTTCTTACAGAGATCAACCAAAGCGATGAAAAGCCACTTCACGGTTAAGGCATAAAGCAATGCAAATTCGGTCTTCTCCTTTTATGTTTGTACAAAAAGGTCCAGATTTCCTGGCTCAACTTCCTTGATAGTATGAACTGATCTTCATCCCTCTTCCGATGGTCTTGAACGTCCGTCTTCATCGAACTCCTTCATACATGTTTTCACGAAAAAGGTTTCGATTTCTTGGACCATCTTCATTGATAACTACAATGCACCTGGTTATTCACATCGCCAAAAGTGGACAACGGATTCCTTATTTGAGATAAAAACGTTACTTTTTGACTGTCACTGCGCCATCTTGCGCTGCCCCGCGCAAGCTCGCATGATCCAGCATACAAAAAATAACAAATGTACGATTGAGTTACTGATTCAACGATGATTGTGAAAACACAGTTGCCGGTCTTCCGATTATTGCAGCACGACTAATACACCCCGACATAGCCTTACAATAACACATATAAAAATATTCAAAGCCATTGCACCTGTTCACTGTCGCTCGTATTGCGGTGAAAACCGCACGCCGCTAGATAGAGCATCACTGGATCCCTGCACGCCGCTAGATAGAGCATCACTGGATCCCTGCACGCCGCTAGATAGAGCATCACTGGATCCCTGAAAGGCTTCCACCCAGGTTACGACGCAAGGGCGCCGATTTTCCATGTCATCCGCCAATTTGTGACTGTTGTCGTAGCGGTGCCGTCTTCGAGCCCATACCTGTGTGTTTTTGTCGCATGTGGCCAGACAGGTGGGCTATCAGACGGCCCTGGTCCGTGTACGGCTTGTTACAGACAGTGCAGAAAAAGGGAGCATTCGCCTGAAAACCGAACATGATACGATTATGCCACGAATTCATGTAACGAAACCATATAGCAATCTATCGCTAACCAGAGAACCGCCATCCCGCTCGTACTACGCCATACGTTAAGTTGTGGCTGGCACCAGCCACGCCTTCTTCCTTGCGCGGTGGTCCGGCTCTGCCCGAGGGCCACTTGGTGAGGCCCAGCCGTCTGCTCGGGGCCGGCGGGCAGAGCTCAGGAGCATTGTGGAGCAGGGCACATGGAGCGCCATAATTCGTGCGCATGCGTTTCACTCAGACCATTGCTGACGACAAACGAAAAGACTTCCAACGACTATTCCGTCCTAGATGCGCGTATCCGCAACTCTACGAGAGCCGCTCTGGAACATCATGATTACAGGGGTTGATGACCTGCGTGACGTGGAGAGAGGGTGAGCCTGGTAAGAGCCGGCTGCCGTCATGAAGACGTTTTGGCCATGTGGTCCCTTCAGTCTGTAGTCCTCTCGACAGCTGCCGGGAGCGGACTATCCCTCCCAAGCGATGCACCATGTAGGCCATCAACCCACACGTTTCACAAGGTCACCATGCCCCACCACCTAGCGGGCCTTCCCACAGCTCCATCAGGACCATCTGCTTACACTGTGGGCGGCGGTGACCGCGGCTGTGGCGAGAGGCCGCGGCTCCGGCGCCGGCCTCCGCTGCTGCTGCCGGCCTGTGCCAACACACCGTCACACATCAGCGGCGGCTGACGGCGGCGCACACGCGTCCCACGCGCACGACAGCTGGGCGACGCTCTCTAGTACCAAAAGATTCAGCCCAGGCGGCTGTACAGAACGGACCACGCCAGGTAACCCCGCCGCAAGTGGATTCTGCAGCAACCGCGCAGGCGCCAGACAACCCCGCCACGTGTGGCCTCTGTAGCACCGGCGCAGGCGCCAGATAACCCCGCCACGTGTGGCTTCTGCAGCAGTGGCGCAGGCGCCAGATAACCCCGCCACGTGTGGCTTCTGCAGCAGTGGCGCAGGCGCCAGGCCGACGTACAGAAATTGTTAATGGTGCGACAAGCCATAACAGGTGCCATTGGAAGCCGCCTTTCCGTATCTTACGACTGCTGCAGTTGTCAATGCTGCGCTCTCGGGCAGCGTGTGCTCAGAGTCAGCAGAGCATGCTGCGCTCTCGGGCAGCATGTGCTCAGAGTCAGCAGAGCACCCTGCGCCTGTACAGTGTCCGGCGATAGGAGAGAAAGGTCGGCAGCAGTCACGCTCACCGGCGCCGTTGACGTGCGGTGACTCGGCCGTCTCATCGCTCGGCGGCTGCAGCAGCTGCATGTGTCGCACCACATCCGCCCAGTGCGCGTGCAGTTCTTGGCAGAGCGGGCAGTAAAAGGAGGGAGCGGCGGCACACGTCTCCAGCGAGCCGTCGCCGCCGCCGGCCGACCCGCTGTCGGCCGACACGCGCTGCTCGCCCTTGTGTACTGTCTGGATGTGTCGGTTGAGAGTAGACTGGTTGTATAGAACTTTGGAGCAGAAGCGACACGGTGCCGGTGGCGGCAGCCTTTTCTCTTCCCTGCGAAAAGGGAAACTATGCCGGTTCACCTGATCTATGTAATACAATTACATAGGGAAATGCACCATTTACAATGAAGGGCAGGCACCCTTCAGAGTTTAAATTTGACTGTACTCGTACTTCGCTGGGCTGCGTGCTGATAATTAGACAACAATGCGGGTATTGCCGAGTTCTTCCCCATGACCAGCCATCACGGTTGAAACAGGGATTTAAGCAGCATTCTTTCATACAGAAAAATTAGGCTCTTTGCTTAGCGCCATAAAGAAGTTGTGGTTCTGTTCTGACTTGCTTTTGCTTTATCGCCTACGGCCAATTTATTTGTTTCATTACTTTGTGTTCAACTTGCCACACTGATAATCGTTGGAGGGAATACAGAAAGTATTTCGTTGTTCCGTTCAAAACGTTATAAAGACGACTGCGATAACGCTTCACATAAATGTACTAACTTAAACGCTCTTGCGTTCACCTTAAACTAAGCTTATGCGTTTAAAAACGCATGAGCTTCGACCCCGACGTACCAGATATATTCAATTTGGGTGAAGAACGCTAAGTGGAACGCTAGGTGAAAATATTAATGTTGCGAATAATCAGCTTAGGCCTTGGCCTCGGTTGGAGTCCTTCAATGGAAAAACAACAATTAAAAGCTGGCCGCTTATCTACCATTGCACTAATGTTTCTGACCCATGGCTGTACTTGAAGTCAAGTAACTATTCAGTGCTTTGAACGTGAAGTCAAGCAACTTATTAAATGCTTTGAACGGTCTATTTGCGCCTTTTAAGCCATGTTCAGTGGTAAGTAATGCCGTCATTCTTTGTCGTGTATTTCCCATCAGATTGTGATAACTTCTAAAAAGCTATCACTCTCGCTCCCTCCCAAAATTTATGATTCAACAAAAGATTTCAGCGAGTAGCCATCACCAACAGCACGCTTCAAGTCTTCTCAAAAAACAGCGACAACAGTAGTGACTTAAACGACTAACACGGTGACAACATAGCTGATGACATAAGTTACGAGCAGCAAATGTTGCCGTTTACGCCAACCATATCCTCACCTGTGATGAACATCAATGTAGTGTCTGGAGAGGGAGAAGCGACAACTGAGCTTCTTCTTACAGAGCGGGCAGACATTGGGATGGTCATCAGTCCAGTAGAACGGTACCCGTTGCGCAAAATCGGCCCAGTTGAGCTTGCAGATTTGGTTGCCTCTGCGCGAGCGGGTGTCGCATTAACAGAAGCAGTGGTCATTAGAGCTCACGGACTCTCTGGAGAGCAGTGTTCGATCGCTACGGCCAGTATACGCAACAGGAGTGGACCAGAGTGCAGTGGCTAGCACCCATCCGTGACCCACGCGGGAATCACGACCGCAATGCCAAAACTACACGGCTGACGCAGAAGCGTTCACGAAGATGCCACACGGACTTCTTCACAGAAAAACACATAACCCACCGCAGCCGGCCCTTGATGGCCAACGAATCCCTTCGGTTACAAGCCACAAACACCTGGGCCGGGCGGTATCTACTGACTTGCACTTTCAGCAACACGCTGATGACACCACCTCCAAAATCAGCGTAGTATACGACGGCCTTTGACAACCAGCGACTCCCTTAGACTTGACAGATTACAGCACAGAGCAGCAAGACTTACCACCGGCGCATTCTGCAGAACACACATCCGCACACCGCTGAACGATTTAGGGATGAACATTCTCAAAACACGAAGGAACACATAAACTGACGCTGTTCCACACTCTCAACCACAACTAACACCAACTGCCAACAAGTGTCACTTCACTTCTACCTGACACACGAGCACTTGCCACAGGACGTCCGCTACGCAATGCAATGACACTCACAATATCACTCAACAGAGCCCAAGTATACCAAAACTTTTATGTTCCATCAACCACGAAAGGATGGAACCCATTTCCGTCTGCAGTGTGATCCCTCAATCCTCTCGTTCCTTCAAATGGGAAATATACCAGCGCTGCAGTGTGGTTGCGCCTCCAATGTATCACAACCTTGAATCCAGGTTTGGTAGCATCCTCAATATTACGCCGAGATTGGGAACGTCAGACCTTAATGCTCACATATTCTAAATTCAAAATCCAACAACACCTAGTCCCTCTTGCTTGTGTGGTCATCCATATGAAGACCCAAAACACTATACACTGAACTGTCCTCGCGATCATGAAATCAGAATTTTGATGCTACGTAAAAGAGATCGCATCATTCCAAGCTTTTCTGAGCTCACTTCAACGAGCAACTCAGTACCTATTTCAGAAGTAACGGTTTACAAAATTGCAGCGAGCAGCAGGTAGCACAGATTTTCGAAGCATTTCTTTTTTCAAACCAAACCATTCGCTTAAAATCTTCCAGCGGGCGCATGCAGCAGACGGTTGACTAAGTGGCGTTGCCGCGCCGGGCGTCCACCGCCGGCCCGGAGAGGGCAAAACGTGTGAAACGGTGCGGCGGCGGACGCAGGGGTCCGTCTCAACTCGCAGATCGTATGAGTGGGCGGTGGATCGTGGATTCCCTGCCAGCGATGACTGTTTTTTTTTTGTTATTGTTCGAGGCTTAAGTGCCCAGAAGAGGCATCGAAATGTTATGATGAAAGGGCACCACGACCTTCGTTTCAAAGGGTACAAACACCTTCATTGCGGGGCAGCATAATCCTGATTTTCAAGAGGCAGCATATCAGAGCCAACCATGTAAAGGGTCAAACACTCATTTTTAACGGCGATCAACGCCCAGGAGCGCCACAATTTCTCTGCCTTTCCCTGTGACGAAGTTCTGGATCCGCCCGTTCCGCAAAGAACACCAAAACCTTGATTTCAGGGCAACACAGCCCTTTAATTTAGAGGCACCACAAAGAGCCCCAAAACCTTCATTTTCAAGCCACAAATAGCCAACGACGCCGCACTGCCCGTGCACCTTCATGGATGAGATCATGTACCGGCTCATTCAGCGACAAGCACCAGCCGTCGTTTCCGGACACCGCAACACTTATTTCCTACAAGCACCAAATTCAAACGGGTGATTGAAAGAGGCTGAAGCTTTCACTGCAAGGGGCACCAATATCCAGGGACATCACAGTTTCTCTGTCTTCCACACTTAAGAAATTTTGGATCTACCCTTTCGGCAAGGGACACCAAAAAGCTTTATTTCGGGGCGTGACTTCCTTTATATTCAAGAGGCGCCCAATTATCGGGAGGGGGGAGGAGCGGCGCCCCAGAGGGCTCAAAACTTCAATTTAAAAAGACGGCAGACTCTAGGGGGCACCTAAAATTACAACAAAACCACAACTTCCATGAGGGACCAAATTCCAAGGGTCACCATCAAGGACGCACGTGGGAGGGGGCACGGGTAGACACCTAATTTATTCCTGCTTAATTTAATTTTGTTGGGTTCTTAACACATGATAAATTGCATTGCATGGTACCTTTATTTTTATATTTGAGCCAAAGCGTTCAGAAAAATCGGAGTGGAAATTTATATAAATCCGAGTGAAAGAAGTTAGCCGAAATCCGGAGGCTTTTTGCGAGGGAATAAATACAGATCTTTTCAGGGGGCACCATAATGGAGCGCGGTCTCTCCATTGAAGAAATTCTGGACCCTTTCCAGGATGTATGTCTGTAAACTCAATGAACGAGCGTATGTGCGTGTGTTTTAACCCTTTCTCATACTTCTCTTGTATATTTTCGTGTGATGGCATCTTCCTTGCTTTCATTTTCGGCTGCGTTGCCATCCCCAAATCATTCGACTCCCAGCCTCAAGTCCGTCACATCTAATAGTTACCTAAATACCTGTGTCATTCATGGCGAAACATCGTTCATCATCAAGACATGCAATCAGCAGCAAAACCCTTCCCCTTTAGCCAATTACCTGCTATCGTTCGGTCATGTTGCGCCGCATCATCGTAAACACGAATGTTTAAGTGACCGTACCTATCTTGACCATGAACAAAGCAATCCCACGAGGTGGAATGGTCGCATGACATTTCAATGTCATAAAATATGCATGCCATATGTGCTTGGTCGACTTCCCCTTCCCCAAACGGCACATGAAAGCCCGCGCAAATTCACGTGCAGCCAGAAACAGAGAAGATTTTAAGTCTTACAGGGGATGTTCCACATTTGAAGATATTGGGGCAGTTATCAGATATAATGAGTAGATATAACGAGAAAACATTGCTTGCAGCTATTGGTGTGCTTTTGAGTGTCATCTGTCATTAAACACCCCTAAATATTATGCTCCCATAAATATCCCATAAAAGATATGCTCCTCAAATCGCCATCGCTTGACAAGGTCAAATAACGTCTTTATGTCGCCACAGTTGCTGCCAGATCGGCCGTGGCAGAACTGCCACAGCAGCGGGCGGGCTGACTCACTCGTGTAGTGCTGCAGGTTGTCAAGAGGTGGCTTGTTAACTGGCTGGTGCTTGCTGAATCCGAATATCGTTGTGTGGGCGTGTTGGCCTTTTCTCGTCGTGCTTTTGTACATATGCCCATTGCTTTATATTTTATTTGCATTTCCGCCACAATAAAATTAGCACCACCGCCCAAATCACTGTATTATGCAGCACAAAAAGTGACCCGTGTTCGAAATTTGCACTCAGCGTATAACACTGATTTAAGGACACCTGTTGTCCAGTAATGCCACGGGTCGTGCAGACGTACGCCAGACACCAATAACTTGATGATCATACTTTTATTGATCTCGATCACTACATGGCCATTGCGCCGGCGGTATTGGCTTGAGGTTTCT